ACAATTGCAAAAATATCAAAAGAGTTGGCAGTATTAAAGTTATATTGATGAATAAATACCACGATGAAGACAAAATTAAGAATAATTTCATCTCTCACCATGCACGTGCAAGAACTCATTTTTCTTGAGTGGAATTTCACTAGAAGTTTAAGGACAGCAGTAGCAGTTTAATAACTCAATCTATATCCTGTTACATTTTAACAATTTTTTGACTTCCAAACACTGCAACCTTTTTTTCCAATACACTGTAGTTTTACTTTCTGTGCAGCTGTCATTTAGTCTTCCACATGTGACTTCCATGAGGATGTATTTCTCGTTCAAACCATCAGAAAGGTAGTAAAAAGTAGTCAGGAAAAGAACTGTACTTCTTGTGTGCATTGGAAGGTTATCACACTTAAGAAATCCTTGTCCAATCTTTGGGGAGAGTTCTGGAGGGTTGAAACAGTTGGAAATTAAACAATATTGAGCAAATCTAAGTGCTGTTCATGCCATTGTCTAATTTTATAGAATTAGGCACTTTCTTACAGTGAAAATGCCTTGCAATACTGTTTCGTTATCTATCACCCAGAGCAAATAGATTTGAGATACTGCAGATCAGTTTGAATTGACAGCTGATATACACTGTGAACATGAAATATCACTATTGGATGCATATTAGGAGAATCAGAGATCTACTTTCTATCACAAGCACATATAAAAATGGAAATTCTGAGAAGGAGAATACAGAATTTTGTTTCTATTTACACATTTTTCTAAAAACCACTGTGACACAGACTGTCTATGCACTTGACAAGCTGCAAGATGCACAATTTTTAAATTAAGATAGATTCTGCCTAGTGTGACCAGGAGAAGTAGGGAGGTGACAGTCCCACTGTACTCTGCACTGGTGAGGCCACACCTGGAGTGTTGTGCCAGTTTTGGGCACCTCAATACAAGAGAGATATCGAGGTGCTGGACCGAGTGCAGAGGAGGGCAATCAAGCTGATGAAGGGCCTGGAGAATAAATCCTATGAGGAGCAATTGAAGGAGCTGGGACTGTTTAGTTTGAGGAGGAGAAGGCTGAGGGGAGACCTCATCCCTCTCTACAGCTACCTGAAAGGACATTGTAGAGCAGTTGGTGCTGGTCTCTTCTCACAGGTGCTTAGTGACAGAACAAGAGGGAATGGCTTTAAACTGCAACAGGGGAGGTTCAGACTGGACATTAGGAAAAAATTTTTCACAGCAAGAGTGGTCAGACAGTGTAATAGGCTGCCCAGGGAGGGGGTGGAGTCCCCATCCCTGGATGTGTTTGAGATGGTTTAGATGAGATGTTGGGAGATATAGTGTAGGGAGAACTTTGTAGAGTAGAGCTGATGGTTGGACTTGATGATCCCAAGGGTCTTTTCCAACCTGAATGATTCTATGGTTTTGGTTTTTTGGTTTGTTTGTTTGTTTGTTTGTTTTTAATGCACTTTGAAGATTTCAGTGCTTTTTTTACAATAGGAGCAATATGAGAACTTAAGTATCATCATAGAGCAACCACGATGGCACTAATGGCACTAATGGCACTAATCCCAAAGCCTTACTTTCAGCTACCTCATTCAGGTCAGACAACCAATGCAGATAGCAACTGGTAATATCTCAGGGGCCACAGAAATCAGGACTGACCTCTGTGCACTTGCACGCTGTAACTCAAAAGGCAAGGAGGATGGTGATGTGCCATGGTATATTTTTTTTTCTCAGAGAAAAGTGCTTCCTGTTATGTGTATCTCTAAAGTAATATCCTAATTTTTAACTGTGAATCAGATAGCTTTATCAAGAGAATCCTTAAAGCAGTTTGTGTCTTAATTCTTACATTCTCTTTATAACTAATCTCCCCGGGGATCTTTTCTAAATACATAATTCAAACTTTTTCTTTCTGTTTTACTTTTATTTTATGGCATCATATTTTAAACAGGACATTACTTCATCTGAATAAGCCAATTTAAAGGGAAACTAAACAAAAACTAACAGTCTGAAATAGTACTACAGTAAAGTGAAATGAACAAACTGCTGGCAGATTCATACGTTTCATTACAGCAGAGAAAGTTGCGGGGAGTAGCTGGTTTTGCCTTCTGCCTTATATAACAAATGCAAAACTAAGTCTTGCAAAATACCTTTTTCATTAAAAGGTTATGACAGATCTTTGACTGTTGAATAACAGCCTCTATTATATACACATTAAGCTCTTTGTAGTTAAGCTTTAAAAATTAGCTCTGCAGAATGCTCAGTACTTCATTTCTAACTCTTTTCCTTACTAGACACAGCTGGCATGTGAAAGCACCATAAAGCTTTTTCAAAGCACTCTTGCTGTTCTATTATCATGAGAGATAAAAAAGGTGGTGTGGGTAAGTTTTAGCAGTCTGTCACAGAATGTGTTAGATAGCCCGAACTTTACATTTTTACTTGAAAAATACAAAGCAGTTGGTGTTCACCTGTGTAAACAAAATTACTTCTCTCAATAAAGCAGGTCTGCTGTCCGAAGCTGTTTGGAATTTGCAATAAAGGAGCTTGTTCTGCATTTGCAAAGCAGAATGAGACTGAATTAACAAAACACACAAGTGGAGCCACACATGGGTTAGCTATACCATAAACCTGATGATATGCAGAGGGAGCCTGGATTAGCAAAACATTCCCACAGCCAGCAGACCGCACTGGTATGATTTATTAGCAGCTAAAGCAGTTCTGAGATGGGAGGCAGTATAGTCCAGAGAATAATACCACTGAAAAAATAAAAAATGTCAGAACAGATCTTCAGTTTCTGGCTCCAACACCAACTTACTATCTGACATCTAACCAATCACTTCCCTGCTCTCTACTTCAATTTCCTTAACGCTGATAAGAGATTTACTAAAAAAAAACATATTAGAACTGACAGGTAAAAAATTTCAGGCAATGCAAATCAGTGTATCTTTATTACAAAGCACATCACAAAAGCATATTTTAACATATGATTAGACTTTCGAAATGCTTTTTTACCATTCAGAAATGCTGCATGAAATTCAAAAAGCTCTGTGGCCAAACACACTGGCTGCTAAAGACATCTCCAGACCACTGCCTCCTGACTGCTTAACTAATGCCTCACTTCCAGCCGTTCTGCCTCTTCTCATAAAGGCTGGTTAAGTTGAAGATGAAAAAAATGGTAGGAACGAGGTGTAACACACTTTATTTCACAGTATCTTGCTACTTGTGAGATATACCTCACAAGCTAAAGGATGCAGCCCTAGATTCACTCTCCTGGAACATGCAGGTTTGAAGCATTCGATTCTCCCTCAAGCTGCTGCTTCAGATACTGCTGACTGCCTCCCCTGTATCAACTAAGAGAGCAAGTGATAGGCAAGAGGTCATTCAACTACTCTATATTTCTAGCAACCAATTAGTATGCAATTGCTCAGTTAACCTTGGACAGTCACACAGTACAACTAGATGTAGGAAGGTCTTTTCCCCTTTAGCTATGCTTGTCAATGCAATGCCATGTATGATACTTGGCCATCCTTTATGCCTTGGCCCGTGTTCACTCTTTCCTACTACTCACATGTTTCCTTCTCCATCTAGACTCTTTCCTTCACCAACACACTCACTGCTATTAAAATCAGTTTTGGATCTTAATCTGAAAAATTTATTTCCAGTCTGTCGTCCCACATATGTTTTCTGATGAGCTGATGGAAATTTGTTACAGAGAACATTATTTCTCATGCCTTTCACAGTAGTTCAGAGGAGTCTGTGTGAAGTACTACTGCTTAACTAATGTATAAATGTGTAACAAAAACTAACCTGCTCCCTCAAAGCCCCAACAATCCAATAAACAGACAAGCAGAACAAATAAAGTAGCATGGCACAGGGTAAGAAAAGATGGGTGTGGGCTTTTCCAGGAAAAGGTATGGGATTAAGCAGCAAAAGTAGAAACAAAGCTCTCACCACAGACAATTTGGATTGCTTAATTTCCTCCTTCTAGTATATGACTGGCTATCCAAACCAGGGAAATTTGGGGAAGCATTTCTCTGCTTCAGAAAATTGAAATACATTATAGATATTGGGGTAATCACAATGTAAACTAATGTTTAAACAATGCATTTAGCTCCTAGTAAGATTTCTCTGAATAAACAGTATAAGGCTACACGTAAATTTAAAGATTACACATGGTTTTAGGATACCATATCACCAACTAGCATAAGAAAGCACAATTGTATTTCAGTATATCCAATCATAGGAATTTTCTTTGAATGGAACTGTGAAGGTCATCCAGTCCAAGGTACACCAGAAATGGCACTAATCCCAACACTAAACCAGTTGAACCAACTGTCCTTTTCTTCGGATTGCGGTTGTACACTGTCTGAACGTCAAGATGCATTCTCCTGTGCACCAGTTGTAAACCATGACAGCATCTGCTTAGGAGGAAAGAGGTGAGCTGGAGGCATATTTCAGTCTGAATGTGTGAAACGCCTGATATTTAAGAGTTGTAAGGAACTACATATCTGGAATCACACCCCTGTGGCTGGAGAATACATACTGCATACATGACGTACCTTCAGCACACAATGAAACAAACTAGTTCTATTAGACATTCTAGGTCCATTAGAGGGAAACATGATTCAGACATGTGCCTAATGTCATGCTGATCCATCTCTGAATGGTCTAAATATGCTTTTGTGTTTTTAATTAAAGTATCTACAGGTCTGTGTATGCTGTGTCTTTTAAATGAAGGCATATGGAGAGAGGCATCCAAACTATGGCCTTAGCTATATGCCAAAGAAGAAACAAGAATATGACCTGTTTGTCATTTCAGATGTTTACCATCTGGAAAATATTGCTTTCTGAACCATCTTTACCACCACCTTTGAGTTCTGAAAATACGCCTCAAGTTGGACTCTTCCTCACTGCAAAACTAAATCCTAACTGCATTGGTCATCCATCACTTCCTTTGATCTATGTTCATATTAGGCCACTGCCTATTTGTTAATGCTTATCTGTCAGTATTTTACCTTGTGATCAGGATGGCTGCATCAACTGAAGACATGTCTTCTCCCCAGCTTGTTGACATTTCTAAGTGTAGATCATTCTTCTTGCCAAATTCTTCATGTTGCCATTTACAAAAGCTTTCCAGCATTTTTTCCCCATGATGTCCAATATACATATCTGCCTGGAAGTAAAAAATGATTCATTTTATTGAAATTATGATTCTGTAAATGGAATTAAGAATATTTCTGACTAAGTTAACAAAAATATTATCCTTTTTATGGCATAATATATTCATGGTAGAAAGACTTGAACTTCAGGAGCAGTGACCACCTTTTTCTCATGTTAAAGAGACCAGATGAAGACAGTGTACTGAGAGGTGTACAGTGGATCTTCTCCTAAACTCATGTCATTTATTTGCTGACTTTCCACTCTCAATAGTGAAGAAAAGATTAATGATGTGAAGGTCCGGAATTTGAACATCAAATGGGATTCCTCTACTGAGGAGAGGACACTGAAGTAAGAAATACTTTCTTGTTCACTGGAAAAATATACTATTTTAAAAAATTAGAAACATGGATAAGGGAATCCCTTTTTCTTACGAAGTAACTAAAGTATGAAAGGATTTCCATAATATTTTGTATAAAAAACAAGAAATCAAGTTGACATTTTCCTGAAATATGATACAAACCATAGACTAATAGAAAGTCTCAATCAAGATACCAGGTGACTCATCTTTCTTCAAAAAGAACAGGATTTGAGATGATGTCTGAAAAGTGCAATGAAAGAATAGTGCTATATCATGGCACCTTTTGTTCTTCTAGGTATTGGTCAACAAACAACAGTTCTCCTTCTACTGTCCATTCGGTTTAAGGGAGATGATTTTTGTACTGAGCTATATGAACACAGAAATAGCAGAGCACAAGCGTATTTTGTTAAGAACTAGCTGATTTCCACAAGGAAACTTTGATTGACTTCCAAATGCAAGCACAGAAAAATCTCAATATGTGCAGCACAAAAATTAGGAGAAGCTTAATCTTTACCGGGGCTGCCCAGCCATGTAACTACACACTGAGAAAATTTGTCAGCCATTAAACTCAATGAGTATTACCAGCTTTCATGGAGCGACAAGCTAAACAGCATTACCTTCTACAGGCTAAGACAAAGATGATATATACTTACTGGAGTCTCATGAAGGAGAACTAGCTTAGTGACACGAAGATTTACTTGTAGTCCAAGGCTCTTGTGCTGGAAAAGGTTAAAAACCTAAAATAAAAAGAGTAATAAAAATACATGCTTGTATTGTGCACCGCACACTGTAGACTAAACAGAACCTCAAAAATTTCTCAAATTCTGTTGTGACTGCTTTTATTTTCCATAATTTGAACACAACATTAAGCTAATGTATTGTGTTGATCTTCCATGCTTAAGTCAGTATTCATTCTGGGAGCACAAAAACCCCCTTTTCTCCTCAATAGCCATGACCACTTTGGAAACTGTAGCCTCCTTCTCAAAGTACTTACACATGCATTAAATACTAATCACATAAAACTTGTGTTCAATTAAACACAGGATCATGGCCTAAGTGGTCTGAGTCAGGATACGGCAATAATTCTTCCTAGCATTCAGAATAAAATTTTTATTTATTGTCCAGTTTATGCTCCTTCTTTAGAACAATCTTTCATTTCCTACATTACAGATGCTGGTTTTCACTGCTTTATGCACAAAATGAATGCACTACAGCTCCAGATAGAGGTAACTGTCTGACTGCATTACCTTTTGGGCTTTTTCAGCCACTAATGATCACACAATCCTTCTCAACAATGTCATCTTTCCGTAACAAGCATAGATCATGAGAAATCATCCAATAGCCCAGCCTTCCCAACAATATCATGGGCTTCTAAGCAAAAAATCATCTTGTTCAGCTCTCATTTTCTAGCTTCCCTGAAGATATAAGACCAGACAGTACAGACAAGTCCGCAGCACCATTTTTATGCTGCAAAACATATGGAATAAGTCTTGACAGACTGCTCATGATCATGTACTGACTGTCCCTTACAGGTGCTCAGTCAGAATAATTAAAAGGAGCAACAAAATCAGCCCTCAATGCTTGCATTATTGACAAAACGCCAGAATTAATTTTAAATTTCTTACCATGTTTAAGATGGTTAGAATAAACCTTCTGGCAGCATCTGTTCCATGATACGAAACCATAGCTGGATCTGCCACCACAACAGTTTCTATATTGTACTCCTGAGGTAACTTGTAAGAGTATCGTTTTCCTCTTCCACTTTCTGATACTTTTTGATTCTTGGATTTCCTTTTATCTGTAACATAAAACATTGCTTGACAAACTCATCCTTCAATCTACCCCTACCGTTCTTTTTGTATTTGCAACCTATGATTATGGTATAACTATGATTAAGTGGACTGTAATAGCTGTGAACTCCAATACACGCTTATTTAGCACTGCCAATGCTAGAGCTTAGACTGAAGGCATATACGACATACAAATGTTAGTTCACACCAAAAAAACCCCAAGAATCTTATCCAGCTACTAATATAAAGTCAGTCAGATTCTTTGCATCCTTTCACCTAACATACTTATATAGCCTCCTAGTTTGTTTTGTGGGAGAAAACTTAATTCATGTTAGGTTTGATGGAAAAACAGTCTCACTGAGATTGCAGAATTATCATCTGCAGAGAAAATATCTTGATGTAACTCTATCTTAGCATAAAAAAACAACAAATACAGATTTTCTAAGAATTTAATATTAAGAAAATACAATTTCTTGATTTGAAAAGACAAAAGAATATTTCAGATGAATGATATGTAACATAGAGGTTTGTTGGAAACAAAAAAGTGAAGTTTTACTAACACAACTTCAAAATCAGTGCTTGCTGTCATTACAAGTAGTTAAACAACAAAACCGAATTCTGGAAACATGCTTTTAAACCTACAAAAACCTTCAAATCAAAAACATGTTACATTTATGGTAAACTAGAGGTTACGGCTCTTGCTAATTTAAAATCTCAACTCCAAAACCATGACAAAATCCCCATTACTACTACAGTACGTATGAAAAAAAGAAAAGCTAATTACACAGAAACAGTTCAGGCTAGAAGGTGGTCAAATATGCATACAGCAGTTAGCAATGATATTTAAATAATTTAATTTAAAACAAAATATAAAACTCCCTGTTGCAACAGCTAAATTCTGTTAGATCCCCTTGAGAGGACGTAAAACTTCTGGGACTCATCTCATTGAAGTCACTGAAATCAAGTTAAATTTTTTCCAGCTTCCACAATGGAATATTAGGCTCTTTGTTTACAACAAAAGTGATGCTTAAGATGACAATTATAAACACATGTCCTGGAAACAATCAAATATTCAGAAATTTTGAGGAAATGTTTTGCAATTAATCAGTCTCATCTCTAATATGAAAGTTCCTGCACTTCATTTTATAACACATGACACTCTCCAAAAAATAAGTCACTCTTCAGGAAAGTGCTAAAAATACGTTTTAAAAGTCACTGAACTCACAAAATAACTTTAAAATATAAGATACCAGTGGAAAAAAGATCCCTGATTTAATATAAATATATGTTTAATACAGATTTAATGTAAATATAATGTAGATATGTGCTTTTCAATGTAAAAAGTATAAAGTATCCATGCTTAAAACAGGTTGTCCATCTTTTTCTGTAGTCATATGTTAAACATGTGATTTAGTGTACCCTGCTACATTTTAGAGGGGCTTACTGATTCCTGCACAAATGGTGACAATGTAAGATTTACTAACACTGATAAGTATACAAATTTAATAAAAGAACATATTGTTCAGAAATAAATATTTGGTGTTTGATTGCCTAGAACTGGAAACAACTTATAAATTTATAAGCTATCTAAAATTAATTTTAACCTCTCCCATTTTGATCCTGCAGACACTTGCTTAGCCTTATATGTACAGCTAGCCTCCAGCTTTACTCATGTTTTCTAACTGTGGATTCACAGCCTGGTTTATAAAACACTGAGTGTTTTCATCACTCTTTTGAGAATAATTTTTAATGAAACTTCAGTGTCAGGATTTGTGCCAAAACCCCCACACCCTACAAGCTATAGAACTATGACTTACCATACAAGCATCTAATGCTGCAAGAGTAGGCTATAGATCTACGTTTAAATAGCAAAATCATTTGGGTTAAAAAAAGATCTCTCATAAGCCATCTGGTCAATCCATCTTCCTCTCAGGAGCAGTGATTGATACCAGGGCAGCTTCCAGCAACACAGTTTATTCATTGTTCACTTCTTTGTAAAAAACAGCAGCTAGTGGTTGAAAACTTTAAATTTAATATTAGCATGGCCATTCAGAGAAGCCTGCTAACACACCTCTATAAAAGTTATAGCTAGCAGTGCATTCTTATTTAGAATTGACAATAGGCAGCCCACAATAAAATACAGCATTGTGCTAAACACTAAGGTCACTGCAGTTGGAAGTTGGAACCTGTCTTTCAGAACTGTAGTGGATGAGAAGACTGCAGAGCTCTGTAGACAAGCCAGCTGCAAGGGGGGCAGTGCCCATCATTTGCCTCAGATATCTGCCAGGTTAACAAACAAAAGGACAATCTGTTCTTGGCCAGCCAACCTTTTCCAAATTGCTGGCAGAATTCCTTATCACATGAGATCTCATTTATTTGAAAATTTTAGCTGTTCCCTAAGACCATTAAATAAATAGAATTAGTAATTTTGGTACCAGTGGTATTCAAACAACTGCCATGATTACCACCAGATAACAGGTAAAGCAGGCTTTGGGCAAAACCACTTAATTCTTTACATTCCCAGAAATAAGTAAAAATTGCAAAATTTGTTCATTATTGAGGGTATAGTATATAAGAGATAATAACTCCTGCAAAAAAAACCCCAACATCAACGCATGTGCTAATAAAAGTCAGATTAACTGAAAATATCCCTGCTTTCTTGGGATTAAAGATTTATAAATCTTAAAATTTAATTACATTGGCAAAATAAAAAATAAATACTACAGGAGGTTTCTGTGCAATAAGACCTATGTTTTGTGTAACTACAGAAAACAAGAAGATTCTATATCAATTTATTACTTAAACTCAGCTGACAAAGAAAACTAGAAATACTCTAGTACTATAGTAAGAAGGCTAGAAATACTGCAGCAAGTACATTTGACATTCAATAGGCAATCAAGAGAAAACAGAAAGAAGCATTATAAACCAGTAAAAATTCCCCCCCCCCAAAAAAAACTAAAAGAGCTGAAAATCCAGCTACCATAACCACAGGTTGCATAAAATATCTGAGCCAACAGGCTATGACTACAAGACTCCTGGACACTTGCAAGTCCTCAGACAAGAGCATTCCCTGAAAACATCTACATCAGGCCCAGTCTACAGAGCAATCACCATTGCTCCCCAGGCTTTATTTTTCCAGGGAAAAGAAAATGGGTACCATAGCCATATGAAAATTGCAGTATTCTGGTCAGGCAGGAAATATTGAGGGTCTTAGGAAACCATGAGCTGTACCTCCACTATATCTTGGACAGGGATTTAAATGTCTTAATGCAGAGTGTCAACTTGTTTCCAACCCAAGGAATGGAAATCAATACCTCAGGTAGCACTAGTCTCCATCTTGTGCAATCTCATAGATCTAGACCTATGACCAATATTGTTTATGGATTTTATTTCATGATTATCACATGAAAACAGGCTGTAGAGTAAGAACCAACACAGCTCTCCCAGCTGACTGCCCAGTCTACATCCCACAAAGTTAAACTTCTGCTTTTGATCCAGTGAAACTAGCAGGTTTTTTCCTGCAAAATGGCATCACTCTAGAAGGAGAAGTACCATTTGGTCATAACTCAGAACAGTATGTGGTCTATCACCAGAACTGAGGAGAAAAAAGAGGAGGCCTTCTGTGTCCCAATTACAGAAGGGATTCAAAATTTAGATCTACTATATCCTGGGTAAAAACTCTCACTCACTAGTCTGTGTAAAAAGCTATGACTGTTTGAGAAGGTAAATACCCCCCCTCCCCCAAAGTGGCCCAATGCCTTTACAATGAGTTAGGTTCACTGTAGAAACAACTTCAGCCTGGAACAAGTGCTTCAGATTAGGTAGACACAAACCAGTTCAGCTATCCAATGTGGTCCTTTGCTCTAATAGCACCTTCTTCTCTCACATTTTCTCTGTAACACACTTGTGAACTGGTTGCTTTGAAAGGTTTCATGGGACATGTGCTAAAGAAAGGTGTGAATTGTGAGGTCTATGTATGTGCACCTGGTTCACACGTGTAAATAAATCACACACACACACACACACAACACGATACACACACACTCTCACAAATCCAGAAACCATCTGCTTCTGTTGGCACAATTCTCTCCCTCCCCTAATTAATAACAAAAATACACCCCATTCACGAAAACAAGTTCTTTGTTCTCTCCAAACAATTTTGGCTGTGTAGCATCTTTCAATCCAGCCCACACCAGTAAAGGACAACAGACAATACCTTCTTTGATTGCCTCTTCTAGTTCTCCATGAAAAGATATTATTTCCAATAGTGATCCTTCAACACATCCAGCACAGACATTCATTCCTTCTAATAATTACAATTCATCACTGGCAATACACATTTGCTTGATAGGTAGCCAGGCCTTGAGGTCAATTTGGCTCAAAGCCAGCATCATAAATACCTGTCCCAGAGCACATATTCTGACACATGAGTACTGTAGAAGCAAGATCCTGTTGTAAGATAGGTCCATATCGCTGAGAAGTTGCCATATTGCTGAGATAATAGTTTCTCTGTGTCACAGAGCTACCACTCTACCTTCCAAAGACAGCTGTGCATAACCTGAGAATATCAGAGAGCCCCATATACTCATCTGTTTTGTTTTATTGATCTATCTAGTTCATGATTTAACTTTAAATTCTCAAATACTGCTGTAAAGGCTTATTTTTGTTGCTTCAACCTACCTTCAAGGCTGTGCCTGTATCACAAATGCTTTGATGATATTAGCTAACTGCGTATCACACCAGCAGATTGCTCATAGCATAGACAGAGCTCTTATGCATGTGATTTACTGCAGCCCTGCTTAGTAAAATAATCTGTAGCAGCAGAGTGAGAGACTGGTCTTGCTAGCACAACAGCATCAGTTAGACATTGCAGATATTTATACCACCCTGGCAACAAGGTTGTGCCAGCAGATGCCAATCAGTTATGCACAGCTTGAGTGATTTTGAAAGTTCAGCCTGGTATAGAGAGAATGAACTTATTTCAAGCAAATAGTTGACAGACTATTTGCACCAAGTCAGAGCCTTGGGCATAAGATTATTTGAACAGAATAAACTGATTTACACATTTTAGAGCATAAGAGAAAGTGAAAGGATAACTGGTAACAAACAAGGAAGAAGAATACTGTCCTTACAGAACAGTTTACATCTTTACTCATTATCATACACATCATGTCTTGTTACTTATCAGATGTGTCTCTCCCCTTTCCCAGTGCACACATCGTGCATACTTTTTATTTTCTCTCTTTTTCTCACCCCCAAACAAATGCAGGCATGTGTCCTCTATAATTCACTTATCATTAATAAGGAAAAATAACTAGATATATGTGAACAACTTTTGCTAATACGAAAAATTTCACTTTTAGATAAGCATTTGTAATGCTAGAAGAGAAATACAGAGCCTGCTGAAGGAAGTTACATGTCATTTACTTAGTCCCTCTTAGTAACTATAAAAAGAGCTTTGCTTTGTTAATTCATCTTGTATTTCAACCTGTGGATAGATGCACAATTATAAAAACAATAGTTCCAAAATGAAGAAGAATCCTGCGACATTTATGCTGTAACCATATAAAACAGACAGAGCAGTATAAATGTTCAGGAAGAACCACACAGTCACGGAAACATTTAGGATGGAAGGGAACTCCGGAGGTCAGCTAGGCCAAGCTCCTGCTCCCATCAGGGCAAGCGCTGAAGATCAGGTCTCTTAGAGCCATTTCCAGCTATGTTCTGTAAATGTCTGAGGATGTGGACTCCACAGCCTCTCTAGGCAACTCCTTTCCAGTGCTAAGCATTACTACTGAGTTGTTTTGTTTTTGGTTTTTTTCCTTTTGCCCAATTGAAATTTCCTTGAATTCAAGTTACAACTGTTGTCTTTCATCCTGTCATAGCATACCTCTAAGAAAAATCTGGCATCATCTTCTCCCTGCAGCCTATTAGGCGCTAGAAGACTGCAGCTGCATCCTTCCTTTACCTTTCTTTACTTGTTTGAAATAACTCAGTTCCCTCTGTCTCGCTCCAAATATCATATAATCCAGCTCCCTAGCCATGTCAGTGCATCTCTGCTATTTATTTCTGTTTTGTCAATATCTCACTTATACTAGGTTAGAAGACATGGAAAAAATGCCTATAAACGTGCACTCATTCTGGTTTATTTCCTGTGAAAAAATAAGTTCTCACAACAACATTAAAAACTCCCTCAGCTCATGTTGAAGTCAGAAGACTGAGATGTCCTCTACCCTTTGAAGAGCTGATGACGAAGCAAAAACAACAGAACATCATCTTTTACAAAAGTAATTCTCCCCCTCTCCATGTAAAACTTAAAACTTAATTTAAGTCATCACTATGTGCCAAATTTTTGTTGAAACTCTTCACAACTTCATCTACCCACCATTAAGGAAGATGCTTTAGGATTGTTTCATACACTTTTTCTAAGTGTCGATCATAGAACAAGAACATTGTTATAAAAATAATTTCAATTCAGTGTCAGACCCATTTGGAAGTTCAAGACTTATTATTAACCAAAACTGGGATGAACTGTGCTAATGTTTTAAAATGGAAAATTAAGTACAAGAACTTTACATACAAGTAATTAAGCAACTACAATCTATTTTTTTGTCCCTTTCTGTCTTTGTAATTATTGAGGTAAAAAAAAAAATGACCCAAAGATTTCTACTTTCAAATATAATTGGACATTAAGAAGCAGTATCTATTCCTCAATGGACAGTTCCCTCTTCCAGGAAGTGAAACGTCAACCTCAGCATGCAACCTCAAAGTCCATCATAAATTACTTCTATAAGAATAATCACATATGCTTTCATTGAGGGTTGGTTCTACTATCTACATATCTTAAAAACACATCTGCTATTATACATTAGATCTTTTCGGTGAGATTTGTACATTACCTGTAAGAACACCACAGTACTGATTCTGAGAAACTGCCTTTTCAGTAATTTTCTCCTCTATGGACCTTTTTCGTCTGTACACCCTGTGTGCATGACCTGTCACAGCCAAAGTGCGATTGACTGGCTCAATAAATATGAAGTCCTCATTCATCTGTATAAACCCCATCTGCAAAGAAAAACCAAAAGGAACACATAAGATAGGAGTTGAAGAAAGTATGAAATTGTGCACACAGTCCTGCAGAAGGAAAAACCCCATAAAATTCCATTTAAGAGAACCCTTTGTTTTAGTAACCTTACCAGCAAGGTGACTACCTTTATATTTTACAAGCCTTTCTACTTAAATGAACTAGAATATATTTCATTTATTTCAACTAAATCTGGGTGGGTGGGTGGCTACATGCCAGTAGCAGATGCACAGTAAAAGATTTGGAATGTTAAAAGTTTGCTTTGGGAGACCCATGGGGTCATTTAAATATGTACAGCATGTACGGAAAAGTCTATACACCAGTTTTATTACTCAGTGTATTGTCACATTTTTAGATAACTACATTTAATGAAATAACTTATGGCATAAGAATACATTCTGAACAACTATAAAGCTGGGAAAGACATCTTGTGATGCTCTTTATACACTTTTTCAAATAAAAAAAAAAAAAAGTATTAAAAAAGGCAGCAATCCCTCCTTGGTTGCTAGCAGCCAAAACAGAAAAACATTCTAATACAGACATTTAGTAGGTTAGCTCCCCCTCTGTCGCAACATATTTATACATACAAACATACATTAAAAGCTAACATACCAGATGCATATCTAATATTACAAGAGTTTGGCTAAAGTTTTAAAAAAATACTATAAAACATATTTATATAAATACCATACAAGCCTAACTCAGCTCAAATTGTTAAGCTGCCAACACACAAGTTCTTATCAAGAATAAAGCTGAAGACAGCAAGGTTTTGTGGGCTTTTTTAACTCCTAGAAAATGTCATCACCAAGACTGACAATTGACTTTCTCATTCTCTAAAGTTAAAAACCCATTAAACAGTTCTGCTACAAAAAGAAAACAATGTGGCACATATGGCTAAGAGAAGCAGAGCTCTTCTGCATGTTTCCATGTAGTAAGAATGGAGAGAAACAGAAAAGAATTTTCTGTCTTCTGGAATTATGTAGATGCTGTTATCACATTAGGTATTCTGCCTGAAATATGGGACAAATCATAAAAAAAAAAAAAAAAAATGATCCAAATAAGAAAAACAAAATTAAATTTTATAGGTGGTACAAAATATAATTTCCTTCAAACATGTGTGCATTACTTTAAAAAGAAAAAACACAACACAATCTCTCTGCACATTCACATTAAATAAATGTGAATGCATATATTTAATTTTCAATCAGCGACACCAGCTGCAAAATAGTGACAAAGGTTATCATTAACATTGTACAGAAACATAAGAGTAGCTGGGTTTGTTGGGCTGTTCTGTTTCCTTTTTGCCCTTACTTTTTAGGTCAGTTTATCTGCATCATGAGCTTTAGATGTTACACATTTAGAAGATTGGCTACTTATGTATTGCTAGGTACTTCCCCTCCACTTACAAGATGCCACTTCTATATATCCTGAATAATGTTACCTTTACATAACAACTAACTTTTCTAATATAAACTATAATGTTAAATGACTTCTTATTTAAAAGCATAGTTCTAAAATACTAGTAAAATGCATAAACTATTTTTCATTTGATTTATATGTCTAATGCTGAATTTCATTCAGACATAGATCTTCCAAAAAATCATTATTTAGCCTATGAGAAAGATGCTGGTAAACTCTGGGTATAGAACAGGAATAGCAGCCCATCAGGTGGTGGTGCAGGTTTCCCCTTGTCCATCTAACGAAAAACAAGGCCTTAGTCCACCTTGAACAAAGACTCAATCATACCACACTTGCCATATTTCTGGATTCATTCTTATTGCTGCAAAATGAAACCAAGGTTTTTAGATGCTGTGCCAGCTAGACATACTGAGAAGCTGTGCTAGGACAACTAACATTTTATGCCTTCCTTCAACTCCTTACATAAACCAAAGGTTAATCCATTGGTAGAGAACTCAAAAAATTATGGCCAGTCTCCTGAGAGAGAAGTTGAAGAACTGAATACTGATATAAAATTTACTGAATAAAATTAACCTCAGTTATATATATTCAAATGGGTAATTTTGAGACACATCTGGATAATCTAATAATCTCTGTGATCATTTTGACTGCCTTTGAAAAAATTTTTACTATTTCTCCACCTCTTGGACAATTTCACAGTGAAAGAATGGATGATGAAGCTAAATCCTTGCCAACCATGCCCTTATTTTTTCTTAATCATTAGAAATGGAGTTAAGAAGATCTTCTACCATAAAACTAAACACAGAAAGCAGAGAATCAAAGCCATGCATTAAAGCACCACATATTCAACATGTTTTCAGATATGACAAGGCCAAATACAGGCTTCAGACAGTTCAAATGGCAAACCTTCATGTTATGAAAATACACAGCAAAACAAAGATTTAAAAAAAAAAAAGTAAAAAAAAAAATCATCTAGGATACAACTGTGAGGTTCTGAGAAACTGATCTTTCTTCCACAAGTTTCATCTTAAGAGCTACCACTGGTCACAGCTGCAATTGAAAAGGCTACCAGAATGGTGGACTTATGCAAAAGTAACATAACATGCCATTCTTCCCCCTGCATTCATATATCCCTGCATTTTGAAGTTTCTTACCTGAAATAAAACAAAACTTAAAAGTAGCACACATATATCTCAGTAGATTTCAAGCCCAAGACAACCTCATTTGGCAAAAAATTGCTCAGACCTCTTAAGTAAGGATGAACAGGGTACTTGCTCTGCATTTCACTTACTTCATGCAGTAGATTGAGACCCTAAGTACAGGGCAGACAATCAAATGAGCATGTAGAGCATTGTGTGGGACTAAGCATGGACACTCTGAAATAGACTCACATCTACCACATATATTTTAAAGTGGACACTTGCCCTCATAAATGAAAGCTTTCCACAACATACATTCCTATCATACCAAAGACTTTTCACTTTCTTAAAAGAAACAAACAGAAAAAAATCCATATGGAAACACCAGCCCTTAAAGCAAACTAACATTTTGTCTTACCTAAAATAAACATAGTTTACATCTGAAATATACCAATAATCACAAAAAGGAGGCAGATCAGAATTATTCTAAAATATGAAAGCTGAGGGTTTTTTCTTACATCCAATTGGAAATATCATAGGCGACAGAAGAAGAATGAAAAATATCTGAATATTCTGTGCAATTGCATCTGATAAAAGTAGTACGAGCAACTGCTATGCCATCGTATTTCTAACTTCTGTATTAGAACACTCACACTAATCTTTTCTGCCCAGCATTTCTTTCCTAAAAGGACAGCAATTTCTTGTCCTTTCCTAAAAGAACTGCAGTTTCTAAAAGTGAAGTAAATTTGTGAAGACCACCTATGCATATAGTTACTAGATACTAGGTATAAGCCAAGAATTTTCAAGATTGGCAAAGATTTCTTTAAACTCTTATATAATCTTACTTGCATATCAATTCAGAGTGACAGATGTCAGAACATTAAGCCTTTTCAACTTTAAACAAACTAGTTTGCCAGCTCTAAAGGGTGACTCTCAGTGGTCTAAAATTTATCATTAGTCACTTACATAGTAGCAGTTTCTAATCCTGCAGCTTGAAGTGGCAAAGCAAAATATTTCATTGATTAAACAATTCAGCACTGTGGTGGGTTGACCTTGGCCAGCTGCCAAACACCCACCCAGCTGCTCTCCTACTTCCCCTTCCCAACAGGACAGGGGAAGAAATGAGATTTTAAAAAAACAACTCACGAGTCGAGATAAGGACAGGGAGATCACTTAGCTACTGCCATCATGGGCAAATAAAACTTGGCTTGCAGAAAATTAATTCAATTTATTACCAATTAAAACAGATTTGAACAGTGAGAAACAAAGACAAATGAAAACACCACCTTCCCCCAAGTGGCATAGGGTGCATGGGGAATAGTGGGTACCATCAGCACATTAACAGTTTCTCTTTGCTACTCCCTCATCCTCATACTGGAAGGCAGCATTCCTCCAGAATGAGCCTGCTCAGGCGTGGCCTCTCCAGAGTCTACAGCATCCTTCAGGGCATACCCACATGCTGTGGTCTGTGGTGGTTGCTGTCATCATCACCATCCTCCTCTTCTACCCTTGGTGTCTGCAGGGATGTTTCTCTTACCTTTTCGCTCACTCCTCACACTGCTGAGCAGTGCTTCACCTTTTCCTTTTCCCAGGGGCATTGCCATCTTGGCTGAGGGACTCAGCTGTGACCTGCAGCAGGTCTGCTGGAGCCCACTGGAATCAGCTGTGGCCAGCACAGGGTAGTCGCTGGTATCATCCCACAGAGGCCATCCACACAGTTAGGTACTCGTCCCCCTCTTGCAGGTTATTACTACCAGCTGCATGCTTGCATGGACACAGGTATACCTAATAATAGTGAGTTCCCCTAACAGAGCAGTAGCTTCAAAATTTCATAATTCTCATGTGAAGCAGACTCTCACTGTGTTACACCTTTCCTGTTTTGTCTACTCTTGTCTATTCATACATTCAACAGACATCTTAAAGTAGATTTCCATAATAAATGGACATAGCACTGCAATGTCATGACCTTGATAAAAATTTTGCCTGCAGTCTACTTTCTGCTATTTCGTAAAGTAGATGCACACAGTGTGCAAGGACAGGCTGTACAAAATTGTACTTCTTCACTCTCTCACCATACTGCCCAAGGCAAGTAGCAATACTGGCCACAAACCAACAATTTTTCATAGGAAAAACGCATCCTTATCAAATGTATAAAATGTACATGTAGTTTTTTAACAAGCATATTACAACCATCAGCACCTAAGCATTAATGTCATCTGCAGTATAAAAAGTTTTTCTTCGATGTAGAGTGCAAGAGACAATTCTTGTTTACTAGTTCAATACCTACTAGTTTTGAATCACGTTCTGTTAATCTTAGACTTTGTACTATTTGTAAAATATCCCAGAACTGAAGATTTATTCTTGACTAAAGAGGATAAAATCTTTAATTCGCATATCAGTATTCCACTCTGAAGAAGGTTTTC